TCGCCCGGGGCAATGGGGGAAGCAGGAGGGGGGGGCTTCAACCCGTTTCTCGCGGCGAACGCGGCGCCTTCGAACCCGATGGGGCTTCCTAATTTTCCGCCTTCTCTTCTTTTCCCTCCTCCTCCGCCTCCCCACGCGGAGGCCTCCCATTCCGCTAGCGTTGGAGCGACTCCGGCGGCTGCGGCGACGAACGATCGAGGGGATTCCACAAACACCCGGAACTCTCCAACCTTGGGGCTGCCTTCAGGAAATGGGGGGGCGTTGTACGCGCCTCAAATGAGTATTTTGAGGGAGATGGGGTTCGAGGACGAAGAGCTGTGCTTGAGGGCTTTAGAGGCCACCAACGGCGATGTGGAGGACGCTCTCACTTACATTGATGAACATCAGGCGAACTAAACCGCAAGAACTCCCCCCTCCGCAAAAAAAAAAAGGAAACGGTACGGTGCCATGGGTAGATATTGTTACTATTTTGAGTGCATTCTTTATATATTACCAACATGGAATTCTCCTTCCTTCTCTCGTGAAGAATATATTCGTATATCTCGGTGCTTGGTTAGGCATTTTTGTTTTGTAAAGAATCCTTGCAGGGGCTAGTTGACTGGGTGGCGAGCGTAGAAATCGAATCGTAGATGTTTATCGGCAACATAAAGCTCCTTTACTTAAAGAAAAGTATGGATCTCCTACTCTTTCATTGAATATAATTGTGATGTGAAGTTTCATCTCTTGGTTAACTTTGGTATTGATTGTGGTGATTTTAATGCATGTGTAAATGCATTCTCTTCTAAACGTACCATTCTGAGTTACGGGCCCTATTTTTTTTATTATTATTTCCCATCAAGGGGATTATTTAGTTACGAGTTATGGGTGTCTAATTATTAACATAGGAAAACCGATTTCCTCTAGGTTGATGAGAATTTTATTTTCCATCTTGAAAGGTTCTCTTTACCCCAATAGAGAAACCGGATTCAAAAAATTAGATGATGTCTTTGCTAACATCCGCAATTCGCTTTTATATTTACATGCTGCTCACCTTTCCCTCCATTTTTTATTTCGTGCATTTTTTAAATAGTCATGGGAGAAACTGAACTTGACACGATGGTTTTCATATTCCGCACTTTACATGCTTGAGTGCATGGGTTGACATCAAAGCGACCATATCGCGCCGGCGTGATCATTGGGCATCACCGATTATATGACTGCCTCATAAATGTGAGAGAAGGGTGCACAGAGATACTTTCGATAACACGGCAGGCTAAGCCTCTCAGCTATAAGCCTGATAATTGGCAAAGCACAATGGGAGTTGGTCCATAATCATCGGACCTTACTAAATACGATGTAGAGATATCGGTTATTCGTTGATGCCTAGGTTCTTTTCCCCTTGGGAAGAGAGGGATAGGTGCCTTTTTTTTTCTTGATTCCCTTCGAATTAGCGTTTTCTTTTTATTTTTTCACATCGCAGCATCACATTCTGGTGAATGTTGGATACTCCTGGAAACAGAATTAAAAAGTAAATCCTCAAATGGATATACTTATGGCTTCTTTTTCGGATCTAAATTGACGATCTTTTTTCTTTTTAAAAAATGAGAATGAGAAATATGTCGGTGCTGCCTATTTGTTTCACCACTTCTTTCCCTGTCCAGCCTTTTCATTTTTCATACTTCCTACAGCTATCAAAAAATTCCCGAGGTGATTTCTGGTTGAGTCCTTTGAGGTGTGGGACCTATGCTTCGTCTGTCGCGCACTGCCCTTACGGGGCGAGCGATGATTTCTCGCGGAAGCCCTGAGTGGTCGCACCGCCTGGACCTTAAAAAAGGCAAAAAGACCACTTTAGCGCATAAATTGGGAACCAGCAAGCCAAATAACGCGCTTCAGTACGCGCAGATGACGTTGCACGACCTCACGGAATGGGCGCTCGCGTACTCGCCGTGGCCGCTGACGTTTGGGTTGGCGTGCTGCGCGGTGGAGATGATGCACTCGTACGCCTCGCGGTATGATCTCGATCGTTTCGGCATCGTTCCCCGCCCTTCCCCTCGTCAGGCGGAGATTATTATCGTCTCGGGAACGGTTACGAACAAGATGGCGCCGCTTCTGAGAAATATCTACGTCCAAATGGTGAACCCAAAGTGGGTGATCTCGATGGGTAGCTGCGCGAATGGGGGGGGGTATTATCACTTTTCGTACGCCGTCCTTCGTGGGTGTGAGCGCTCTATCCCAGTTGACTTCTGGATCCCAGGCTGCCCGCCCTCCGCTGAGAGCTTGGTGTTCTGTCTGCATAACCTTCAAAAAAAGATTCGATGGCATGAGATTCAGAAGTACTCTGTCCGATAATAGGAAGAAAGGAAATAAAAAACCACCACCACGACAGCGTTTTCCACTTTCATATTATGGTCACATCTTTTGGTTGCTTGCTTTTGTTTTTGAGCATGTTTATCTTAACGAAACCCGACATATTTTCCTTTCACAAGTGATTAGGTTTCAGGGTGCTTAGCTGTGGTGATTATTAGCCACGAGGGTGGCCTGTGCTTATGTCTTCTATGGTAGCTAACTTTCAGTGCTTTACCTTCCTTCTTCCCCTTTCCTCCCATGCGGGGTGCGATTCTCCGAATATGCATCAAAAATGATCGCGGCCAAGAGGGCTATCACCCTTTCTATCGTCTCATGATGCACAGAATTCCAAGAAGTTCACTGAAAGGTAAAAACCATTCTTTTTTTTTCAGTATTTTTGAGCATAGGAATAAATACGCTGTGGGCGGTTTCTACACAGCTCTTTGGTAGGGTAAAAATGCTTAGTATTAGGCAACTGCATACAGCAATAGTATTCTCGTCTTAGGAAGTGTAAACACGGTAGGGATTGCATAAGAGATTACCCTGTAAAAGGGTTTCTATGAGCATGTGTTGTTGTACTTTTAGATTTGGCTGGGGAGAAGATATGGAATGATAATGAATAGCGATATGTGCCAAGCTACAAGCTCACATGACAAAAGGGTATGGGTTTTGGAAGTAATTTTACTCTACTTTTTCCCTTTTTTGTTGGTTTCTATTTGCTCATTAATCATCTTTAGATATCATTTTATCTTTTATTTCTCTATCATACACTCACACTCACACACACACACATCAAAAAAAAATGTCCGACGATATGATTCATATTGTGCTTTTCAAATTTGACCTTGAAAAGCTCGCCGCTGAGTTTCCGGGCGATGAACTCCAGAAGGCTGCGAAGCATCTCGAAAAGGTTGTTCCTGGTCTTATTAATATATCTTTAACTCCCAGGCGATTGCCGAAGGGCGGGAATGCGAATAACAATAGCGGATACAACTACATATTGATATCAAGGCATGACGACTTGGCTGCGTTGAAGGTGTATGCGGATCATATCGACCACAAGGCCTTCCAAGACCGCATCCGCAAGTGCTTCCTTGCACCACCTCTACGTGTGGATATTAACATCAATGCCAAGCTTTAATCATAAAATAAGGGCTATTTTTCATTTTATTTTTTTAATTGGGAATCGTTAATTTGTTTGTAGGGTCTTTTCCAAATCTGATCTATATACAGAAAGATCTATTAGGAGTTTCAAAATATCGTGTCTCTGTTCTTAATCAGGGTTAATAAAGTGAAACCTGTTGTTCTGAGATTTAAAATTTATCATGTATGGGGGCATCACAAGAGCTAAATAGTTTTTTTTAACTGTTCTTCCCTTAAGAAGATGTTATTTGATTCAGCGATTGGCGTATCATAAATGTCATATGACATATGCCTAATATTCACTTCATTTCCGTAGCTTCTTTGCACGCTTAGAAGGATATTCTCCTGGCTATAAATGTCTAGCAGGACTAAAGGAGCCCCATCTATTCTTTATTATCCATGAGGGGATTTAGTTTCTCCTCTCGCACGAATCACGCTCTTTTTCACTATCGATCGTTTCGATGCCATGACATGTCCTTTCTTCGTTGCGGCGCCCCCGCTGTTGCTCTTCAGCGGCGGCTTTACCTGAAGCGCACCTCCTGGTTGCCTTCCTCCCTTCTTTCCGTTCGCCAACCCGATTCCTCCGCGAGCCCCACGACCGATGCCGAGGGCGGTGGGCTGCTCTCGAGTGAGGCCTTCGCCCGGCTCGCCCCGATTCTGCTCCTGCAAAAAGCCCTCCGTCAGCACACGTTACTCGCGGAGACCCCTCTTAAGGAGGGCGCCCCCCCTTCCCCCTTCCTCCTCACACGCGCGCAGTTCGATCGCCTTTGCCGGCTTTCCCACGTGGCGGATTCCGAGGCCGCCCTGCAGGCCCTTCACGACGCCGCCCTCGTCGTTTCCTTGGACGCGGGCCGTCTGGTGCATCTCCGCCCCGTCCGCTACGTCGAGGCGGTCGAGCTCGCGGAGACGCTGCTCGAGGAGAGCGAAATGCCCCACGAGAAGGACCCCGCGCTTCCTGTGTGTTTTCTTCTGACGGAAACGGAACGTCGGGTGGCGGGGTTGATCGAAAAAGAGGCGGCGATGCGTCGTCAACTCGAGCCCGCCATCGCCCGGGCGGCGCGGTGGCGACGGCTGATTTGGAGCGCCGCGTTGCTCTTCGCGGGAGGGCAGCTCGCGGCGGTGGCGAGGCTGACGTACGTGGAGTTTGACTGGGATGTGATGGAGCCCGTTTCGTATTGCCTGTCGATCGGAACCGCGCTGATTTTTCTTCTTTATTTTGTCTGGTATGGCGAGCTGCACAGCTACGCGGGGTTTGATCGGCGGCACCTCCCGAAGAAGGTTCGACAGTACGCCCGTAAAGACTTTGATTGGGAGGGGTATGAAAAGGTCTGCGCGCAGCTGGTGGATGAGCGGAAGGTGCTTGAACAACTCCGCGAGTGGGCTAGAACGCATTGATAGGGTTCTTGTTCAATTTTTTTTTTCCCTTTTCATATATTGTATGTGTCTAGGAGTAGCCGATCTTGCTTAGCGATTGCTTAATTTGTTTTGTTTTTCTGTGTGGGGCCCTTCCCCTTCCCCCTCAAGAGGACATGATGGGCTAGGTGTATGCATTCATACTATTATGATGATTCCTTGTCTTTTTTTTCCCTTTTCCACACCTAGTTCCCAATCAAGTTTTCCAATCACACACCACCATCACCACCACCGCCGCCCATCCAACCCCTCCTCCGGATTGCATCTAAATGCAACCCACCCTTTGAGTGCTCGTCTGTCCTACTCTTTCTTTCGTTATTTCTCTCTCGCGCGCTCTCTCTCTCTCTGAGTTCACCGAAGGGTTCGCGCGCTACCCTTGGCGATGAGTCGATCCTCCGCCCGGAGTCATTCCGAGCCCCGCTCGGACGCCTCGAGTGCGCGTTCGCAGAGCAGCCTCCCGCTCCTCCCGCCGCCCGCCCTTTCCCTCACCTTTTCCGACTTCGACGCCGCAGGCGGGGGAGGAACCCTCGGCGACGGGGGGGGTTACGGCGCCACGACGAGCCGGGAGCCGCCGGTTCGCTCGCACTCCATGCCGGTG